CTCTAACCAACTGAGCTACAGAGGCCAGCTGTTGAGCTGTAACCGTAAGTTCATGTATATATAGGTAATCGGGTGTGCGGGTTGTGATAAGGTGGACCGTAAGTTCATGTATATATATAGGTAATCGGGTAAGTTTATGTATATATAGGTAATCGGGTATGCGGGTTGTGATAAGAATCCTAATATTAATTCCACCAAGTGAAGTGCAAGAATCTAAGTCATTCAAGTCCACCTTATCACAACCCGCACACCCGATTACCTATATATACATCAACTTACGGTTACAGCTCAACAGCTGGCCTCTGTAGCTCAGTTGGTTAGAGCGCTGCACCGGAATCGCAGGGCCGTAGGTTCAATTCCTACCAGAGGACCTTGTGCTGCATTTTTCGCAGTCGTTCCTGGTTAGGTCTTAAAATGTATATATTCTCACTTGGATTACAAACCCTAACATACGGATAATAGACGATAAGTTTTCTTTATACAATCCGTCAGTTCAACGAATTTGTTTGCCGGCATCGTAGGCTTGACGTCCTACAAGCAGATCGCTAGTTCTTGAACGCGGTGAGAATCCAACACGCCAGTATTTTTTCTGGGCTTTTTTAGGGCCGCGTAAAACGCCCCCAAAAACTCAGTCTTGAATTCAGTTTTGAAACTCAGTCGTCTCATCAGAAGTTTTAGTGTAGTAAAAATGTAGTTGTTTGATTTAGAACTGTGACTTTCCTGTCGGAAACCCAAGAAAAACGAACGTACTGTACCACTTGCAATTCGTTTCACATGCAACATAAATTCAAAGCAATCTTGAACCGTTGTAAGGGTAGGCTAGATTCCAGCCGTTGGGTTCTCGGCACTCGCCAAGGAAGCCTATTGTAAGGGCTGAATTGTGAAACTTCCAGGGCCTTCGCCCATGGACACCCCACGTTCCACTCTGGGGGGACAGCCGTCCCAGACCTCAAGCTGATTAATAGGTAACTCAATTTTCTCTGCAAAAAAAAACGGACCCAGCAAAAAATTGCTTTACTTGTCCAACTCTACCAGGTTCGACCAGTTGATCAGGGCACCCAACCTCCACCCCCCCCCCCCCCTA